CTTCTGGGTAAATACCTAGTCATGGGATTGAAGGATCAAATGGGAGTTCTTTGATGATTCTCCATACTTCTTTCCAAAAAGGTTGCATTACCTTGCAGTTCCACCACCTCTCCACATCCACACCAGCATCTGCAACCATGAGACTTAGTGATGTGAGCTATTCTCACTAGGGTTAGGTGATCTCTCAGGGTGGTTTTGATTTGGATTTCTCTGATGATCAGGGTTGATGAGCCATTTTTCAAATGTCTGTTAGCCATTCGCCTCTCTTCATCAGAGAAGGTTTTGTTCATATCTCTTGCCCAGAAGTAGATGAGATTGTTTACTCCTTTTCTGTCGACTTGAGTTCCCTATAGATTCTAGTTATCAACCCTTTGTCAGATTAATACCCGACACATATCTTTTCCCATTCTGCAGGTAGTCTTTTAGCTTTGCTTGTTATGTCCTTAGCTGTGCAGAAGCTTTTCAACTTAATTAAGCCCCATTTGTTAATTTTTGTTATTGTTACAATGGCCTCTGAAGTCCTTGTCAGAAAATCTTTCCCCAGTCCAACATCATCAAAAGTTTTTCCCCACACGTTCTTCTAAGATTTTTATCATTTAGTGTCTTAGATTTAAATCTTTTCTACATATCATGTCAATTTGTGCCAGTGGTAAAAGATGTGGGTCCAGTTTCAGTCTTTTACATATGGTTATCCAGTACTTGCAGCATCATTTGTTGAATATGAATTCTTTTCTCCACTGTATGCTTTTGCTTGATTTATCAAAGATGGGATGGTGAGTACAGCTGGTTTCATCTCTTGGTTTTCGATTTTTTTCCATTTGTCTATGTCTCTATTGTGCCAACACCATGCTATTTTGATTACTGTAGACTTATAATATACCCTGAAGTCCTGTAGGGTGATGCCTCGAGCATTGTTTTTATTACTAAGAATAACCTTGGCTATATTCGTTTTTTCCTGGTTCTGTACAAAATGAAATACTATTTTTTCCAGTTGTTCAAAATATGATGTTGGTAATTCAATGAGGATTGCATTGAATCAGTAGATTGCTTTGGGAAGTATAAACATTTTGACGATGTTGATTCTTCCCAGCCAAGACCATGATATGTTCTTCCATTTATAAATGTCTTTGCTATTTCTTTTCTTAGGATTTCATAATTCTCTTTGTAAAGATCCTTCACCTCTTTTTCGGGTATATTCCTAAGTATTTCATTTTCTTCGAAGCTACCATGTGTGAAATTGTGCCCTTGATTTGCTTCTCACCTTGGATTTTATTGCAGCATGCAAAGGCTACTGATTTAATGATTTCTAAAAGATTTTAGAAGTGATGGGGAGGTAAGAAATTGAATATTCCATATAATTAGGAGATTCCAAAACTATTCAGTGAGAAAAAATATTCCCGATAAAGCATGACTAGGAAGACTAAGTTTCCTTCAAGTGGCAACACTAAATAAGGATGTGAGACCTGATGAGATTCTGAAGGCATCTGAGGGGGGGATGAGTGCTCAGATCTAACTAAATTTCTTTTTTTTTAGATCTGAATTCTATTCTTCTGTGCTACTGCTCACAGATAGATAGATAGATTGTGGTGGCAAAGAGTACAGAGGGTATTGTGTGTTGATGATGGTGGATGGGTAGTTTGGGTGTTGAGTATTGGTGTACCAAAAGCATAAAAATACCTTCAGTCCTCTAACTCCTTTCATGAACTTTATTTGGCTTGAGAGAACCATCAGTCTTATTAAGAACACACCTCCTCTAAATGCTACAGAGGCTGGTGTCAAGGCAATGGAATAAAGGCAGTCTTGTCAGGAGATATTATGTTTTCTACTTCTTTTTTAGCCAATAATTCATGGCCTGACTTATTTTTCAAAATATGAAAGGCTGTATCTATGTTTATTTCCTCTGTGGCAAATGGAAAATGTTGAGAGCACCAATAAATTAAAGGTGAGGCAACAGCTATTGGCCTTCCAGAAAGTAATGCCTTTTGAAAGAAATTGTACATAAGAAGCAATTATTGACAATTGAGGGCCTAGTTGAGAATTAAAATCTACAAATTAATGAGGTATCCTGTTAGAACTGTGTACCATTTTGTTTATGTTGCAATAATTAGTGCACTGAGAGGGGGCAAGGGTCATGAAGGATAAAAGGAAAGAGATCTTGATGCTATAAAAAAAGGTCAGTTTAGTGAGGAAAAGAGTTAGAAAAGTGGAAGGATATAAATATTTGCAGAGATGGTGATAGAGACTGGAATTTTAATCAGGGTAACTATATAAACATTTAATTTACCTGGAAAGCAGGCAGGAGTGAAGATCAGGCAGTAGAATATGACCTACAGTTCTTCTGTCCCTTTAATGGTACCCCCCTTCATCACTCTCTATCCATAATGTTATTCCCATTCTGTCTTATGTCTCATTAGCTTCTGAATCAATAAAAAAAGACTAGTTAATGCACCATTAATTACTTTCTTCTTTGACTGTTTAGACTAAGCATAGTCAAGTTGCTCTGTCAAAGAAGACAGATTTTTTTATGTATTTTTTTTTTTTAAGCAGAGTCTCACTATGTCACCCTACGTAGAATGCTGTGGCATCACAGCAACTTCCAACTTTTGGGCTTACACAATTGTCTTGCCTCAGTCTCCCAAGTATCTGAAATTATAGGCCCCCAACACAATGCCCAGGTATTTTTCTATTTCAGTTACCATTGTTGCTTAGCTGGCTGAGACTGAGTTCAAGCCTGTCAGCCTTGGTGTGTGTGGCCAGTGCCGTAATCACTGTACTACAGGCACCGAACCCAAAGCAGACCAGTTTTAAGGATTTGGAAGAATCTGGTAGCATAAATTCTGTGTAATCTTTCGTGGCAAATTTAACAAAATTTTAATGGGATTTTTATGAGTCCCATATTTTAACTGATTTAAGCATGGCTAAAAAGTAACCTATAAGGACTGTTATACACCAAGCATTTTTGTTGTTTAAGATCAGCTGTCTATAATGAAAGCAAAGAGAATCTTTAACTGGGTAATTGGGGTCTGCATACAAACAAGCATGATAACTAATGATTCTAGAACGTATCTGGAATGAGGTAAGAATAATTTTTTCAAGGTCCAAGAATATGCAGAAAATACTTGGTACAGGCAAATCATATTTATATTTCTACAATGTAAAAGAAAGCCCCAAGGATCTTGGTATGTTTTATAATTCCTATAAATGCAAAATTTCATAGTACTACAGATAACCTGAAATGAATATTTTGGAGTCATTAACTTCCATAGGAATAACTCAAATATTTGAATGTTTCTCTGCATTTTATAATGGAAATTATATCCTGTGATAGTGTTAACAAATTTAATGATTGACAAAGTCATGTCACACAGTCATGAATATGTCATGTGTGTTCTACAGTGGGCTTCTAATATAACTAAGGAGATCTTAGCCATATGACTAAATAAATATCTCTGTCTCATCTTAAGCTTGTTTTCTTGTGTTACATAGGATCTACAAATGTCAGCAAACTCCATTTAGCATGTCACTTGCTTCTATCAGAACTGACTAACACTTGTTCTCAGTGTCTGCATAGGCAAACACTGAGGGCAAAGTGCCTTTCAACTCTGTCCTGTATTACTATTTTCCAAGGATGATTG